TTTATCATTTCATATACAATATAAAGCATGCGAATAATCACACGCAAAAAAATCCACACCATATATCTAATAAAAATAATAGTCTTTTGTCTACTGTTCAAGTAGAAATATAAGAACACTAAAATGTATATATATACGTATTGTCCACTTCTATATGATAGAGAAGATGAATAGAATACAAATTGGGGGACCATTCACCTAAATGAGCCAGCATCAAATGATCTCGGCCCAGTTGCTCCAATAAGCCCAAGATATTGAAGGTCAATGTTGTTTGCATCACCATCTGCTCTGAGTAATTTTACAAGGACGAATTTCCCTGATCTGCATAAGACAACGTTATCGTTATACACCACAATAAACATTGTTAAACACTAATAATGGTACTTGATTTATCATAATTATACATACCTATTGGGTGTTATCGCCTGCTCAAACAACGATTTTGATGAATCTATACAGAAATATGCTGCTGGCCATGAATCATCAATATAACCATCACCACTTGCAAGTAATTCCTTGTATTTTGCTTCAGTGAAATCATCGTAACGTTCCGTTGCTGTGAATAAGGTAAAGTCGATTGTGACGAGGTTAATAATTATTCGCAAAAAACTATCCAGATTTTGACGGAAACAACTATAATGCTATGCTGACCTTCGACTGATATCGGTTCATGTGATACAAAAATTAAGCCTTCTTTACCTATATAAAGTATACAAACAATTCATTAATATCATGTTATATGCTAGGGCTGGGTTATATTGACTGTTGTAAGCATACGTACATGGTGCGGTGTAACCTTGCTGTGGCGCTTTCACAATGATCCTTGTGAGAATAAAGGTCGCCTCAGAAACGCTTCTGTGTCTGTCGTTAAATTTCAACCTAATATTGATGTTGGTGCTCTTTGACGAACTAAGATAATGTGATATAATTGGGTGTCAGTAAACGTTGACAAATGTTGACAACACACACGCGCACGCACGCGCGTATAAAATGCATACATGCTTACCAGTACACAGAGTTATCTTGCCTTAATATGTTCTCGATACTATATCTTGGGCTATAATTTAGGATAGAAAGATCATTTAA